ACACATAACGCCGTAATCTAGGTTAGTTTTTGTCTGATCTAGACTTTAACATACTAGGCTGTACACCGTATACCGTACACATAACGCCATGATCTAGGTTTGGTTTTGTCTGATATAGACTATAACATACTAGGCTGTACACCGTATCCCGTACACATAACGCCGTAATCTATGTTAGTTTTTGTCTGATCTAGACTTTCGCATACTAGGCTGTACACCGCATATATAACGCCCTGTTCTAGGGTTGGTTTTGTCTGAGCTAGAATATAACATAATAGGCTGTACACCGTACACATACCGCCGTGATCTAGGTTTGGTTTTGTCTGATCTAGACTATCACATACTAGGCTGTACACCGTATATATAACGCCCTGATCTAGGGTTGGTTTTGTCTGAGCTAGACTATAACATAATAGGCTGTACACCGTACACATAAAACCCTGATCAAGGGTTGGTTTTGTCTGATCTAGACTATCACGTACTAGGCTGTACACCGTACACATAACGCCCTGATCTAGGTTTTGTTTTAGTCTGATCTAGACTATAACATAATAGCCTGTACACCGTACATATAACGCCCTGATCTAGGGTTGGTTTTGTCTGATCTAGACTATCACATACTAGGCTGTATACCGTATATATAACGCCCTGATCTAGGGTTGGGTTTGTCTGATCTATACTATAGCATAATAGGCTGTACACCGTACACATAAAACCCTGATCTAGGGTTGGTTTTGTCTGATCTAGACTATCACATTCTAGGCTGTACACCGTACATATAACGCCCTGATCTACGTTTGGTTTTGTCTGATTTAGACTATCACATACTAGTCTGTCCACCGTACACATAACGCCATGACCTAGGTTTGGTTTTGTCTGTTCTAGACTATCACATACTAGTTGTCTGATCTAAACTATCACATACTAGGCTATACACCGTACACATAACGCCTTGATCTAGGTTTGTTCTAGTCTGATCTAGACTATAACATACTAGGCTGTACACCGCAAACATAACGCCCTGATCCAGGTTTGGTTTTGTCTGATCTGGACTATCACATACTAGGCTATACACCGTACACATAACGCCCTGATCTGATCTAGACTATCACATACTAGGCTGTACACCGTACACATAACGACTTGATCTAGGTTTGTTTTAGTCTGATCTAGACTATCACATACTAGGCTGTACACCGTAAACATAACGCCCTGATCTAAGTTTCGTTTTGTCTGATCTAGACTATCACATACTAGGCTGTACACCGTACACATAACGCCCTGATCTAGAGTTGGTTTTGTCTGATCTAGACTATCACATACTAGGTTGTACACCGTACACATAACGCCCTGATCTAGGTTTGGTTTAGTCTGATCTAGACTATCACATACTAGGCTGTACACCGTACACATAACGCCGTAATCTAGGTTAGCTTTTGTCTGATCTAGACTATAACATACTAGGCTTTACACCGTATACCGTACACATAACGCCATGATCTATGTTTGGTTTTGTCTGATCTAGACTTTCACATACTAGGCTGTACACCGTACACATAACGCCGTAATCTAAGTTAGCTTTTGTCTGATCTAGACTATCACATACTAGGCTGTACACCGTACAGATAACGCCCTGATCTAGAGTTGGTTTTGTCTGATCTAGACTATCACATGCTAGGCTGTACACCGTACAGATAACGCCCTGATCTAGAGTTGGTTTTGTCTGATCTAGACTATCACATACCTAGGCTGTACACCGTACACATACCGCCGTGATCTAGGTTTGGTTTTGTCTGATCTAGACGATCACATACTAGGCTGTACACCGTACACATAAAGCCGTAATCTAAGTTAGCTTTTGTCTGATCTAGACTATCACATACTAGGCTGTACCCCGTACACATAACGCCGTAATCTAAGTTAGTTTTTGTCTGATCTAGACTATCACATACTAGGCTGTACTCCGTACACATAACGCCGTGATCTAGGTTTGGTTTTGTCTGATCTAGACTATCACATGCTAGGCTGTACACCGTACAGATAACGCCCTGATCTAGAGTTGGTTTTGTCTGATCTAGACTATCACATACTAGGCTGTACATCGTACACATAACGCCCTGATCTAGGTTTGGTTAATCTGATCTAGACTATCACATACTAGGCTGTACACCGTACACATAACGCCCTGATCCAGGTTTGGTTTTGTCTGATCTGGACTATCACATACTAGGCTGTCCACAGTCCACATAACGCCCTGATCTAGGTTTGGTTTTGTCTGACCTAGACTATCACATACTAGGCTGTACACCGTATACCGTACACATAACGCCATGACCTAGGTTTGGTTTTGTCTGATCTAGACTATCACATACCTAGGCTGTACACCGTACACATACCGCCGTGATCTAGGTTTGGTTTTGTCTGATCTAGACTATCACATACTAGGCTGTACACCGTACACATAACGCCGTGATCGAGGTTTGGTTTGTCTGATCTAGACTATTACATACTAGGCTGTACACCGTACACATAACGCCGTGATCGAGGTTTGGCTTGTCTGATCTAGACTATTACATACTGGGCTGTACACCGTACACATAACGCCCTGATCTAGGTTTGGTTTTGTACTGTTAAGGGTCCTGTGGACAGCTGAGGTAACTTAAGGACATGTCTCGAGGTGATTAACGCATGCGTGTTTGTATGTAATAATTACTGGAAGTGGTATGTTGATAGACAGAATTTTCCACCCCACTGAAATACCACACTAAAGACACTTAGCACAATATTCCACCCGATCACATTGCACTGAAAACGGGGAGACCATTTGTAGCCATTATCCAGAATGATGAACAGTTAGAAGATAATGCTGTATATAATTTACTTCCATTTAGGTAACACATTTGGTTTTTTTCAATTTCCAAATTCATATAGGGTGATAAATACATTTCCCATCATTCGATGTCTTCATTCATGAAGACAATCTAGTGTTAAACCATGTTAAATAGATAACCAAGAGAGGTTTGAAAAATTTAAAAATCCTAAGTAGCTTTAGATATTTACACAAACGATGTTGCAAACAGCAGCAAAAAGAAAAACCTTTTGACCTAAATTAGACATATTAAGCACAGATGAGAGATTTTTAATGCTAATTTCGAGTTGATATGCTTATCACTTGAAGTTTATTAAAGCAACGGACGAACGCATCCCGCAAATGTGAAACAATCTCAGAAAATTGTCGGATTTACCAAATAGTAAACTTCCAAGTAATTTAAGATTCCTCGGACTCACCTTCAAATCTAGACTCTTTCTGTGTTATATCTTCAAGGTTGTGGTCTCTGACAGTTTTTCCATAGTAAGGTAATACATCCATGGTAAGATATCAGCATCTAAATAATAGAAACAAAGTTATGTTGATATGAACATATAACACTTTTTCTAATAGGTCAATATTCGGGGGTATTTTCACTTCTAATCCTGCGCATGCTCGCACATCGTCATCACCCCTTAGGCGCAAAATGATTAGCCTAGCAAGTGCGTATTCCACTATTCTGTCTTTGTTTAATATACTGCTTGTTCGTATATGGATACATATATATATATTTACGTTTGTCCCTTCTTCTCCTTAGTTATTTCTGACTGCGTATAAATTAGCGTATACGCAATGAAAAAATACTCGGCGGATTGATATCTGTTTCGAATATGGCGCCGTTCACGTTTCAGCGCGATAACTGTTCGATGACAGCCATTGTTTGGTTCTTTCAATATCAAGAAACATGGAACATATGTTGTATTCACTATATCTAATGATACCGAAAAGGTATGCTGGCTAACTTCTTATTCCATGGATGCACATTCAAAATTCTTTGACGGTAAAGCAAACAATTGCGGCTTACTTTTGCGACATTCGATCGCATCATTACCAGAACAGTATGTCAATGCGTGTACATAACGGCCGTTATTTATGAATAAATATGTTCGAAGTGCTATTAATATCACTTAATTGAAAATACACAAGCGATCAATGGAGAAAAATAGTGTTGTTTACTGCGTATTTTCTAAATTTACCAATATATCGATGTACATTCACTGGAATTATATTATCCTAGCAAATCATGCTAACGCGCACCATATAAAATGTTCGTTGCCAACTGCGTTCATACTACCGTATACGCCGTCAAAATGAAGGCCAATCCTTAAATACATAGCACAGCAAGGGATATAACTCCTACGTCTTTTTAAAACACCTCATATTACATCATTGGAGACGTTTAAGAATTTTTGAGGAACAGTTTACCTAGAGCTTAAATAATTTAACACGCATTCTCAGATATATTGTACATATTTTATGTAATAAAAATGATGATTATACTAAAACTGAAATGATTTACCACGCAATATCATAATCATCATTATGCATAACACGACAGAATCTGTTTTACCTGGCTTTCAGTACTTTGGATTTTATCTAGATTGTCAGATAGTATTGTGCGTAAAAGTTTTGATCAAATGTCATCAACATAACCTTTTGACGACAGAACTTCTCAATAAGTTCAGCCGTGTGTGTTTAAATTCCTACACTACACTACCTAAGCTTCCATAAATTAAGTCATTGGCCTCTAATTGGTTATTTAACTTTCGTTTTAGTAACGTCAAGCTGTAGAAGTTTGTAAGTTTAATAAACCTCCTGACTATCATATTCTCTGAATAACTTTAGGAACACACATAAACAAAGAGAAGTAAAACACACAAAACTGAATCGACATTTCATGTAAACAAGGAAGTTAAATTCCACTGACTCACCTTTAGATATTGACTTTTGTTGAACCTTCCAAGGTAGGATTCAACCCCTCCACGACCACATATCTTTATCAAAGATATGGAGTCATTGTGAGAGGGGTCATAGTCGAGAGGAGGTAAATTATCATCTCACAATTATTTTCTATTGACGTAGGTCCGTGTCTAGTCCCAGTTAGTCTCGTTCCACCAGACTCTTGTTGCCTGCGCAATTTACGCCGAACAGAGAGTCTGGTAAAACCAAGTGCTTTCGTTTTGTGACATCATACCAAGGCTTACCAGGATTCTGGTAAATTATTTCATTGGTCAAAGGTTGACACACCCATTTCAACTTTTGAAGTCAGAATTTGAGTGTCGCAAAATTTCATTGAATATTTTACTTCATAAAAAACTTGATTTTACTGTTAACGAGAAAAATGTAAGAAAATGCTTCAAAAAGAATGATTTCATGTGTTTTCATTTGATATTTTACAATAATTTATGAAGCTAACAAGGCTATTGATACAAGTCAAGCCAGATAACCCGAGTGAGAACTTGTAAGTGTTTTGAATGGTGTACAGGTAAAATCTGACTTGCTTTGCATGCTTTTTAACCTCAGTCAGCCTTGTTGGCTTTGTGCTCAGTTATGATTTATTCAGTGGAAATGTATGGCATTATTCTGGAGATTTGACACATTTTCTTACATTGTTCTCGATACTAGTGAATACACGGGTACTTCAGGAATGCATGTATCGGAGATTTGTTTTCATTTATTGCATTATTCATTGAAATGTTTAATGACGTTGACATAACGTCCGAAAACGAAAGTAAAAGCACTGCCCTCTAGTGATGGTAATTTTAAAGTACTGTGTTTGACCCGACTCTTGAATTACAAGTGATCAAGCGTCCGGTTGAACGATACTAAGTCCAGTGGACTAGGGCGCCACTAGTACGGTTTCGGGTTACAACACTTGGTAAGGGGGAACAAATCGATTGTATCATGTACTAATAATACAGATTATCGGGGGCACATGCCACTATGCTGTGTTGTTCTTTCATGCGTTGATACATACAATATACCACGGCAAGGGATATAACCCCCGTGTGTGTTACATGTAGATAACACGACTCCCATTAACATACACAAACTATTAACTATCGCGGTAGATATTTGCAAATAGTGAATATATCTTTGGTATAACTTACATAATTTAGTGTATGTATATTAACTTTATATATATGATATATATGGTGGGGGGATTCAATTCGTTTTAATAACGTCAAGCTGTAGAAAATGTGCAAGTGTAATAAACCTCATGTCATTCCATGACTATCATCTTCTCTGAATAACTTTAGGAACACACATTAACAAAGAGAAGTAAAACACTCATAACTGTAAACAAGGAAGTTAAACTTCGCTGACTCACCTTGAGATCCTGACTGTTGTTGAACCTTCCAACTTATGATTCAACCCCTCCACGACCACATATCTTTATCAAAGATATGGAGTCATTGTGAGAGGGGTCATAGTCGAGTGGAGGTAAATTATCATCTCACAATCATTTTTTAGTGTCGTAGGTCCGTATCTCGTCTCAGTTCCTGGTAGTCTAGGTCAACAAGTGATCAAGCGTCTGGTTGAACGAGACTAGGTTTCGGGTTACAACACTTGGTTAGGGGGAACAACTCGATCGTACCCTGTATCATCGGGTGCACATGCCACTATGCTGTATTGTTCTTTCATGCGTGGAAACATACAATATACCACGGCAAGGGATATAACCCCCGTGTGTGTTACATGTAGATAACACGACTCACATACACAAACTATTAACTATCGCGTTAGATATTTGCGAATAGAGTATGTATCATTTTTATAACTTACATAATTTAGTGTATGTATATTTACTTAGGTTCAATGATTTAACACTCATTTTTTTGTGTAAATAAAATTACCAGACAAATTATTCAAAATCGGTTATAGGTAAATATAATATCGGTATCAAAACATCTGTATTCTTGGTGGCAAGAATAACTCATACAGAGCGATATTTATTTTTAGTCGTCCATATGACGGTAGATTTATAAACAAAACACACACCGAAGACTGGATTTCGCTAGTACTTTCGTCCATCTTGAGGCTCTTCAGACGAAAGTACTTGCGAAAATCAGTCTTCGGAGTGTTGTTTTATTTATATTTACATACATACATTATATGAAATAATATCAGAAATATGTTATACTATCATTATCCAGTATTGGGTGTATATTTAACATTTATCATACGTTATTTCTAGCATTGGTTTGGTTTGTTTGTGATTTACGTCCTATCATATATAATTACCAGCTATGGTCATTTAAGGGGGTGCCAGGTTTTGGTGGTGGAGGAAAACCGGAGTTCCCGGAGACAATCCACCAACCTACAGCCAGTACCTGGTGACTCTCCCACGTAGGTCTCGAACTCGCGACCCAGTGGTGGAGGGCTAGTGGTAGCAGAATGTTATACGCCTTTGGTCACCGCGGCCCACAAGTATTTCAAGCATGCAATTTGCAAGTCTCGTTTTAAATTACAACAAAACGTTACTGTATCTTTTTTATGTAAAATACATTTAAACTGCTATAAGTAAACAGCATTTAGTCTGTTATAAGTAAAATACATGTATTCTGTTATAAGTACAACACATTTACTCTGTTATAAGTACAATACATTTAGTCTGTTATAAGTAAGATACATTTTCTCTAACATGAGTAAAATACATTTACTCTATTATAAGTAAAAGTACATTTACTCTGTTATAAGTGCAATATATGTACACTAGCTGTTATAAGTAAACGATATTTACTTTGTTATAAATAAAATACAATTACTATGTTATAAACAAAATACAATTACTCTTTTATAAGTAAAATACACATGTTGTGTTATAAATAAAATGCATTTACTGTATCATACATTTAAGTAAATTTACTCTGTTAAAAGTAAAATACATTTACTCGGTTATAAATAAAAATAAGTTACTCTATTGTAAGTAAAATATATTATGTACTCTGTTATAAGTAAAAAAAACATTTACTATGTTATAAGTACATTACATCTAATCTATTATAAGTACAATACATTTCTTAAATACTTGATAATTGTTTGTATCTTTAATATACAATCTTATAATAATTGTAACTCACACATAACTATTTTGTAATTAACTCATTAAGTTCTTAATAAATAATACATGATGTCAGCTAAAAGAGGAAACAAATACGGAAAAATAGAACCACCGACAGGTATGGTCTGTGAATGTTATTCTGGCTGTGAATTGGAAACGGTTCAAAAGTCGGATTGGCTTTCCTGACAGTCGTCTAGATAAGTAAAATACGGAATCCGGATGGCGGATTCCGGAAAGTTTTCATATGGCGATAGTTATTGTTTGTATGCTGTTGTGCATATCCGGATAGGGCTAAGAACAATCAATTTAAGCATTGCTCAACAATAAAACTAAATCAATAACCTGGTGATTAAGTTAATCAATGTCTTTATGAAACGTTGTTTTAGTAGATGTTTGTCTAGTTTTAAACATAAGGACGTCACTCATGATATTTATGATAACCCATTTGAGGTAAGTCACGTAAACGTCGACAGAATTCAGTGAAGCGTAGCATTGTGCTTGACCCATAATATGCAGAGGAATTTGCACGTGTACAATGTATACAAAGTGTGTAAAGGACTCTTTTCTTGCTACCGGTTCACGTAGTCAGTCTATTCATGGAAACACGTCGTTGTGTTGGTGTCTAAGCTAAATCAGCAATGGCTCGGCTTGATGACGTAAGATGTGAAAGGATCAATGGTATGATACAGGGTGGAGTAAGATACGTTTAGGTCGCCGGGCGGTTTTGTGAATTTTTAAAACACGAGATGTATTGTTTTGACAACAACAAAATATCTGAATCAATCAGCGATTATGATATGAAACCACCTCAATATATATTTGCAGATTTGTGACCATACAATTGGAAAATCTTAGATAGGCTACTAGTCCCCGATGTGGCTGTAACCTTACAATCGAATTTATTATGACCGGGTTTACATGAAATATTAGTTTAAGAATAAAAAGTATGTTGTAGCCTAAAGTTGTTTATTTTTTATCGTTTAACGGGTTTGTCACGTAACTCCTATTTTGCTCTATCCTACATATGTTTTGGAACATATTAGACGTGTCGTACATTTTCATTTGTCCTTTGTTACCACTGATTAACCAAACATTGACGAAATGGCCAAACATAGCTGACTAAATTTACTTGGGCAATGTATATTCACCAACATTTTTCAATAGGTATTCCTCCTTTAACATTACAAGGCTATTAGTTTTGAGAGCAGATAAAAGATTGTGTCTTAGTCAGAATAAGATGTATTCACAAACCATCTTTTCACTCTTTAGTACATGTATCCCCTTCTTCCCCTTCGTCAGACACAAACGTGGTTATAAAGTTACGAAATTCACACACTTTACAGGTTATTAAATTAGGAATTCATAAGTACTCATTTAAATTTCTATATTCATAATTAAGGATTGTACACGACTGTCCCTCTGTTTATAAACCTTTTTGGCACCTAGCATCAACGATATCGGTCCTAGAAGGACGAAGCAGTAGTATGATGCAGTGTAATTCATTTTATCATATTTGATCTGTTACCCATTTTTGAGGTGCCATCACCTCTGCGTGTGAAATGTTCATCGTGCAGGTACAATGATGTTTTCCTTTTGTCACACAACGTCGTACATAATGTATTTGTTAGACTAAACAGCCTATATGAATACCAGGGCCTTTGTTTTGATAGTTAGTTTTTCTTCGGAAAATATTATCCCAATATCAATTTAGTACAGATAGGTTGTCAAAAAGCTCAATAAGTGGCTTATTAACAGTATTTTGTGTGCATGTATTAAGGTTTATAACAAATGATGATTCTCCTTATCACAAGCAGCCGGTTTGTAGACTGTATTAAGATTATACGTACAATGCAATTAGGTTCATAGTAAACGATTCTCCCTAATACTTACAACTGGCTGATATACTGTATTAAGCGTGTACTTATTAATGTGTACAATAACATATTCTCCATATCACTCAACAACCGTCTTATATACTGTATTAAGTGTGTACTTATTAATGTTTATAATAACATATTCTCCCTATCACCCAACAACCGTCTTACATACTGTATTAAGTGTGTACTTATTAATGTTTACAATAACATATTCTCCCTATCACTCAACAACCGTCATATATACTGTATTAGGTGTACGTATTAATGTTTATAATATCATATTCTCACTATCACTCAACAACCGTCTTATATACTGTATTAAGTGTGTACTTATTAATGTTTATAATAACATATTCTCCCTATCACCCAACAACCGTCTTACATACTGTATTAAGTGTGTACTTATTAATGTTTACAATAACATATTCTCCCTATCACTCAACAACCGTCATATATACTGTATTAGGTGTACGTATTAATGTTTATAATAACATATTCTCCCTATCACTCAACAACCGTCTTATATACTGTATTAAGTGTGTACGTATTTAAGTTTATAATAACATATTCTCCATATCACTCAACAACCGTCTGATATACTGTATTAAGAGTGTACTTATTAATGTTTATAATAACATATTCTCCCTATCACTCAACAACCGTCTTATATACTGTATTAGGTGTGTACTTATTAATGTTTATACTAACATATTCTCCCTATCACTCAACAACCGTCTTACATACTGTATTAAGTGTACTTATTAATGTTTATAATAACATATTCTCCCTATCACTCAAAAAACGTCTTATATACTGTATTAAGTGTGTACGTATTAATGTTTACAATAACATATTTTCCCTATCACCGAACAACCGTCTTATATACTGTATTTAGTGTGTACGTATTAATGTGTACAATAACATATTCTCACTATCACTCAACAACCGTCTTATATACTGTATTAAGTGTGTGTGTATTAAGGTTTATAATATCATCAATTAACAGCCGGTTTATATATTATATTATTAGTATGCACCTATTCAGTTTTATATCAACAGCTTATCCCTATATAAATATCAGTAATTTTTTGTCAGTCACATGCGGCTAATCAGCAGACGATACAAGTCAGATGATGAGCAGTAGAGACCAACATGTCCATCAATGCTGACGATGAAACGAGTAAACTTCTTCGATATGGAGCGTCTGAAAATGAAAAGAGTTTGGGGACTCGTAATAATGTTCCTCCTCACAAAGGTATGTGCTTTGTTTCATTTATATATAGTTCAGCTTATATGTGTTCGACAGTAACGCGCCTAACATCGTTTATAACTAACTGCTATGTTTGAGATATTTATATATATGAAACAAATTATTATTTGAAATCAAGTCATGGCATTTAACTGCATTTATAACATCATTTGATTGTATAGACTCTTGTTTGATTAACCTGACAAATCTACTATTCGATTTGCGTGGACAACTCGTAAATATTTTACACCTTTGTGTATATACGCTTCACTGGTCATTTGCCTGAATAAGGTGACAAGGTACATACCGTACTTGTAATCGAAATATCACATATACACAC